CCTGTGGGGATTTTTAAAACTCCCTTCTAACAAGACAATGTAGGAATGTTCCATTGTTCCGTTTTACTGCATGGAGTTGAATTAAAAAACAGTGATTAGTTTGTGTATTATGGCCGTGTAAAATTCACAGGTCCACCCTGGAATTCTAACAGAGAATAGCTGCTGATCAGTGTTGCTGTTTAATTGAAAAAGATTAGGCTGCGGATATGAGTCACAATTGTACCTTGGGATCCTGCCCTAATCAGTATTATCCCTCATAGAAAACATTGCAAGTCAAGCAGTGCAATCAAATAGTGGAGCCGAAATGTAAACTGCTTCCTGAATAAGGCGAAAACAAACGAAGGCTACATTCTTTACACTGCGGTAGTCCGTTGACTTCTCATGAAGCAACAAATGTATACAAATATGATTTGATAAAAAGTCTGAAATGCTTTTAATTTAATATTTTTGGTACAATCACTTCAGTTAAATTGCATTTCCTACACTGACATCGTTGAAAATAGATCAGAGTAGATACAATTCACAAATTTGCTTATGCAGTGTTACTGCTGATCATTACTGCCATCTGCTGATGTAAAGTATAACAACTATATGTATTTACTGAAACTTTATCCTATTATGTGACCAGTGTATACATTTACATCGAGAAAAGTACTCTGCTTTAGTTCAATTAAATTAATACAATTTATCGGAATTAAATAATACAAAGTGATGCTTTAATTAAAAAAAAACATTTTGCTACTTTGTTTTGCTATTTTGTAACATTCAACCAGGGGTCCTGTCCACCTAATAAACTGTTTAAATACTAAAGTAAAAAAAAAAGCCCCTTTAAGATCACTGTATTTTAATTGTGACAGTAAACGTAAACATGTATTATTATACGGTACTTTTCGGTACATGCCAGTCATTGTAAGGTGTAAGTTAAAGTGTTCCGAAGTTCTCAAGTGCCTCAAGTGTTCTCAAGTTTATTAGAGTAACGTACGCCTATAGCACGCATATCATTTTTGCAGATATGAAAAACATGGTCTCTCAAGCCAAGAAAATGTTGCCTATGCTTACATAATAAAATCGCTTGTAAAATAAATAAAAAAATATTAAAATCCAAAGAAAACAGTTCCCACAATGGAACGGGTTGAGTGCATTGCTATACAGTAAGAAGTCTTTGGTGCATTTGCACCTGGGAAACTTGTGAAAATGGAAACAAAAGGGAATAATATAAAGTATTTTTTCAGCAAAAGACAATCAGTAGCCAAACTATGTTCTAACTGGCAAACAGATACTAAGTCTAAGCAGAAGATGAACTGTCTCTAAAAGGTAATTGTTCTGATTATCTTGTTTCACTAACATATTTTATCCTGCTTTCAAAATTAAATTATTTAAGTTCAGCTAGTTAAGTATTTTCGTAACGGATCATTACATTGTGTGATAGTGTATTGGAATTCTTGAAAAAAAAATTTCCTGACAACTTTACCCTCAAATAAACTTTGCCCCCTCTGTATAACCTATAATGTTTATTTAGGTTTAAACGTTGCTCTGTGCGGCTGTTGATGCACTATTTGATGAATGATTGTAACAGCTGGCTACACGCCCATAGCAGCACTTGCAGCAGAGAAACCAGCAGTAACAGAAACATGCTTCACAGTGATGAAAAAGGGAAACCTAATCAAAGCTAGTGATTGTGCACATTTTCTGCCAAGGGGTTGTTGAAACATTTGCCTTTGCAAAAAAAGCAACTGAATACAAATCGATTGGATTCAAATTTATAACGTACCTATATTTTTTATTTAGTGTTTTTAATTTTGAGCCTGAGATGGTCATAACAATTTTAATTATGAACTAGAGTGGCTGCATGAGCAAGTTTTTGGTCTGGCATATCCGAGACACCCACAAACGGACCTTTGCCTGTATAAAGAGTTTCACCGTCTCTCAACCCGTCTCAGTTGTCGGTGAGGCCGGCGGGGCGGATCCCACAAAAGCGAAAAAGAGAAAAATAAGCAACACAACAACAATAACAACTTGGCCTATTCGTACGTTTCCCTAGCAAGCTTTCCTGTGGATAAACAAACATTAAGGTAAGTGAATAGGCGACATAGTCGAGAGAGCGAGACTCCCAGCCGGTTAGCATGCCTTGCTGTCCGGAGCTAGCAGCGCATGAGGATGCTAAGTCAGTGTGTGCGCGTTAGTGGAAAGGGCCGTTAACCAAATACCGTATACTGACCGCTCTCCTGAGGCCACTCTGGGCCATAGAGCAGCTGGCCGAGGGCCGTGTGGCTCTAGCACATGTTACAGAGAAAGTATGCTAGTGTAAAGATAAAGCAAAACTAAATATACTCCATTTGGTTGACAGTTCTAGGTTTACTTTTAAAGTTAGCCAGCTGTTGTATTTAGCAGGTTTATATTTTCAGTATCTGATAAATGCAGATTTGTGGGTAAGAGTACTTTATTTACAGTATTTAGAGATCAAATCTCACCAGTCATTGCAGGGCTTCTCCTGTGTTGTTTTACCCTTTACTTGAGATCGGTGATCCGTCCGTCTTTGATATGTTTTTCTTGACAGATTAACTGTATTTGATTTTCAAGAGCTGCATTTAATTATCATTTCGGTTTTGTGTTTGAATACATTCATGGTGGTCTTATATTCGTTGAGGAATCAGTGGCGATGGCTGAACTCCCAGTTTAATGACGAAACAAACTGTGGTTGTGTCGAAAATATTTTGGTTAACAGTTGTAGTTTTACGGTGGAAACATGCAGTTTGTAGTGGCCTAATGAGAAATAAAAGCAGGTTAATTTAATATTTATTGATGTTTCATTGTAGATATTCACCATCTAGATATTATTATATATCATTGATACAGATATGTAAGTTTAACAGTTTTTCAACAAATCATTTCTAATTTAATTTTATTCATTAAAAAGAATCCTTTGACATAATAAGTTGGCTCAGTTTGAATCCAAATGTACTATTGCTGTATTTGCAACATAGAGGGGTGTGAAGAGACTTTGAAGAGGACAATGCAGTGATCTGCATTAACTTCCTGATTCATGCTGATTGCCAGCCCTACACTACTTAACTGTAATCTGAACCCCCATGCTGTAAGAAAATGGCTCAAAAACGCACTGTGGAAAACAGCATTTGACTTGAATAGATGTGGAATGACAGTGGTTTAGAGACCAAGAGGTGTCACAGGCAGACAATCTTCTTATTCAGGCATAGGTTATTAACACACAGTATTATGCATCATCTGGATTATCTTTCACTCAGGTTTAAATCTGTACCTTGAAACATTTTCATGTTTTTGTGGTAGCTTGAGGCCTGGCATTGTTGTGATATGAAAGCCTACAGCCATAAACAAACGCTGTATTATGTGCACTGTATAAGTCACATGGTTACAGAAATAAGAAGATATGAATTTGATGCCTTTATTTTAGATGCCCTCGGCGATGAATGCAAACAGAGCAGTTATGACTGCAAGCCCAGAGGTGGGATCCGCTCCAGGGTCAATGGGCAGTGTTCCACTTGGAGGACAGTCTGAAGTGTTGAAGCAAGTCCTCTGTGTCATTGAGAAGAAAGTGCGTAATATGGAAAAGAAAAAGGTAAGGCCTATAATACAAATTATCCAACACATTTAGACTAAAGCTATAACTTAACCTGTGAACAAAAAAATTCTTCCGACTTTACATTTTAACTTTATTTTGAATTGTCTGCCAACAGAGCAAACTGGACGATTATCAAGTCAGGAAGAATAATGGGGAACGTCTCAATCAGGACCAGCTGGTGGGTTTTTAAAGGCCTGCATCATGATTTTCATCATACATGTTCGATGACAATCTGAAAAAGTTTATTTCTTGGTCTTTTAGGAGGCACTCTCCAAGTTTCAAGAAGTCGTGAATAATTTGGAATTTGCCAGAGAGCTACAGAAGACATTCACTGCCCTGGGACAAGATGTAGGGTTGATATTGATGTATAAGGAATGTTGTGCACCTGTTCAACCTAAGCCTTACTTTGTTGGTGTGAATTACCAATAGATCCAGAAGGTGGTGAAGAAGTCTGCACGAAGGGAGCAGCTGCAGCGTGAAGAAGCAGAACAGAGGAGGCTGAAGACGATTTTGGAGCTGCAGTTTCTCCTGGACCGGCTTGGAGATGAAACTGTTCGACAGGACCTGAAGCAGGGACTGGGAGGGTCACCGTTAACAGATGCAGACCTCGCAGCTTTTGACGAGTTCTACAAGTTAGTGGGACCAGACCGTGATCAAAGTGTCAGGTTGGTCTAAGCTCGTGTTGCTAACAGGCATAAACCTCTGGATTGTTGTTATAATACCAGTGACTCATCCAACATTTGTACAACCACAGGTTTGTCAACCAGTATGAAGAAGCATCAATGCACCTCTGGGACCTGTTGGAAGGGAAGGACAAGGCTGTGGTTGGAACAACATGTGAGTTGTAACAAATGTTTTGATATCCTTTTGTTTGTGAAATTCTAAAAAGAATGTTTTTGGTATATAGAATGAGGGGAACACTTTTTACATCTTGAAAACAATGCATTAAAACACATACAATAACATAATATGCTGTTTCTGGCTGTATATGTCATTCAAATCCAAAGCAGATTAAACCTGTGCTGGAGATGAGGAGAATCTTTTATAGTTAGATTGTAATTAACATTTTAAAATTAGGACTAATGAGACTTGGCTTCATTTAGAAAAAACAGCTGTGGAAGCAGTTGTTGAAAGAACCTGTGTTTAGATAGAGGTTGCATCACTCCCCGGGGTCAAATGTCAAAGTGATTTGGCCCAAATTTAAAGTGGTCCCAGGACAATAGAGTTAAAAAAACCCTAGTATTATCTTATTATATAATGGGCTATAAAAGCATCTTAATTTGATAATGTAGGTGTGTGCTTTGTATTTTATCAGTGTACTGTGTGTACGCAGGAGACTGTTAATAATCAGGCACTGGATATATTGGCATCGCTGCATTCTCTGGCCTTGGGAAATGCACTGCAGCATTCTGCTCTGGGAACTGAGGTCCATGTGCTTATCCTGACTCAGCAGAGAGGCACAGTGCCACTGGCCCTGTCGCCAACAGATTCACTGGTCAGATCTCCGGAGTCATTTTAGGATAGTGGTGACCCAGTTGTCTGCAGTGACACAGAACAACTTCTTTACTTTAGTTACTTAGTGACTGGAGGAGATAATTATCGAGGCAGGAACAGATTTATTGGAACAAGCTTTAGAGACAGACATGAGGCAGTAAACGAAACATTGACCTGATTTCTACTTTTTATTTTTATTTCTCTTGAACAGTTTTCAGTTATAAAAGTCTTTTTTATTCAAATTGATGGACACTTCAAAATCCTAAGAAACAAAGACTATACTCTATACTATACTATACTATAAATCCTAAGAAACAAAGACTATACTCTTTCTTATTTGGGTTTTACTTCAGATCAAATGGGATTGAACTGAAATATTCTCATTAAATACACAGAGTTCAACAAACGCAGCAATTGTTCCACCTCATTCACTTTGTTTTATCTTTACTTTAACTTAAGAATTATTATTGGAGTCCCTTGGTCAATCTTGGAGAAAATAAAATCTCTCCTTGTACAGTTATCCTGTACTACGTTCATTGCCTCACACTTACTGAATGACGGTTCAAAATTTTTTTTTTTTTTTAAGACAAGGCACTGAGAGAGACTTTGGACCAGATTCTGCTGAGCGGGTACTTTGACAGGGTCCCATCTCATGAAAATGGAGTTTGTGAGGTGGAAGAGGAGCCAGCAGCTATAGCAGTGGTGTCAGCAGCAGAAGTTGAATCGACAGAGGTAGAGGAGCAGAACGTTGATCCAGGTCCTAGTTCATCTCCAAAGTCTTTCTGCACCAACCCTGATTATAAAGAAACTGCTTAGTCATCAACTCTGAATTGTATTTGTCTCTGCAGAAACTGAAATAATAGAAGAGTTCACGGAGCCCATTGCAGTAGAAACGACAGAGGTGAGATCAGTATTCCCCTCGCAGATGAACTCTCTCAGCTTTTGTGTTTTGGTTCTAACCTTTTTTTTTTTTTCTTGCTTCCAGTTTGTAAATAGACAGTTCATTCCAGACGGCACATACAGTGGCAGTGAGAAGGAGCAGGGGGATGAGTGGACCACAGAAACAGAGGTAAGCAGCAGTGGTTTCTATTTCCTCTGGGGTTTATTACCCAGTAAAAACAATAATGTCAGGAATAGAAGTATTCAAATCGGTTGACAAACTATAGGCACTCCTAACAGGCTATATTAATTGACATCCATTTATATGTTTCTCTGTGCTATATTTTTTTGGTGAATTACTGTTAAAGGTCATGGAAGGATTTGTATTTGTCCTGAACCATTGGGGCTACAACACAGTGTACGTAGTCCTAAAATAAATATGTAAATATCTTTTGGTTTAAAGGTACAGTTCTTGTGGCATCAGTCTGGTGTGAACGCTGCCTTAGCAACAGTATCATCTGTGTTTCCAGTGGTCTTCTCTGCCAAAGTTTCACTGCTGTTTCCTCCTCACAAACAATGTGAGGGTTAATTATTACATGACTGCGCGCTCTCTCACTCTCTGCATGTGTGTGTTTAACTCTGTTCGCCAGCTTTAGTTAAAGCTGCCTACGCAGCATTTTAATTAAGCTCATTAGCCCGTCTCTTTTGCCATTTTGCAGTTGGAATTTTAGTGCAAATACCTACATCTGTACGTGTCCTTTTCAGGCAGTTACTGCTTTGCAGCAGCTGCAGCCCGTGCAACCTGCAACCCCCCCTGTTCCCATGGAGGCCCATCCCATGAATTTAGCATCTCCTGTTCCTCCGACTGACCCCCTGGTCAGAAAGCAGGTGGTGCAGGATCTTATGGCACAGATGCAGGGGACGTACAACTTCATGCAGGTCAGGATCTGTTGATTTGTAAGAAGTTATTTTTTTGCTCATTTTGATGTGATACTGAATATTTGTCTTACCTCAGGACTCAATGCTGGAGTTTGACGGTCAGCCCATTGACCCTGCCATTGTCTCGGCACAGCCCATGAATCCTGCTCAGAACATGGACCTGACACAGATGGTGTGCCCTCCTGGTGAGTTATAATGGGCTGTGTAAATATTACAGCTGTAGTCCAACAGTGTTACGTTATCGTTGACTAATGTGCGTCACACAAATCTTAGTTCACCCAGAGTCCAGGCTTTCCCAACCCAACGTTGTTCCTGTTCAACCTGAGCCATCGCAAGTAAGTCTGGGCAACACATTGTAATATTTTCATTTCTGACACTTGGTACATGGGTATATGATCAGATTAATTACACTTGGTGTGTAACTTTTGCTTTCTTTTAATCTTGCACTTGCGGCTGTCAACAGATTCTGTACAGGGATTATGTTGAATTCTAATAAATAGTCACTAAACACGAGGCATCATGCTGAAAGGAATTACATCTGTTTTTTTTTTTAATCAATATATTGTTTAATGTTGCCTTCCCCTCCCCCTCTACTACAGGTTCCTATTGTCTCCCCCACACCACCTCCCATGTATCAGACCTCACACACACCAGATCCTCGACCGTCACCTGACTCCATCGACCCCATTCAGGTCAGTAAGGCTGTCATTAAGTTTTTGTTTTTTTTTTAAATTAGACTAACTCTTTAATTAACTTTAACCCTATCATTTTTAAATGTAAATATTTAACTTTTACACATTAACAACGGGTCTTGTTAACCTGGCTTTGCGTTGTGCAGCTAATCTTTTCAGTTGTACAGTTTGGCTGATGACCTTGACATGAAGTGTAACAATTTGCTGTCTTATCTCTTTCCACAGACCTCACTGTCCTTGACATCAGAGCAGCCTCCCTCCTCCACAGCGCTCCCCCAGGCCTCTCAGGCACAGGTTTTCCAGCCCGTCTCCAAAGCTCCTCACAGCAGTGGTATCAACGTCAACGCAGCACCATTCCAGTCAATGCAGACGGTAACAGCGAGATGACAAATTGCCATGTTGTTTACCCAACATTATGTGGGTTAAAATAATTGAATGGTCAGGTTTACTTGATGTCACACTAGTCGAACTGTCTGTGAGTTAAGTTTACTTCTGTAGTATATTTTGTAGTCATGCAACTACATCCAGGAAATAGTAAGCCTTCTAATGAGCCTGTGACCTTTTCTCTGGTTATGGCTTCATCACAATGTGTTCCTTGTTTAACTTCAGGTGTTCAACCTCAATGCCCCGGTCCCACCAGCCACTGAGACAGAGGCCCTAAACCAGGCCAACCAATACCAGAACAGCTACAACCAGGCCTTCAGTAACCAGTCACAGCATCCTGTGGAGCAGACGGATATTCAGACAGAACAGCTGCAGTCTGGTGGGAACATTTTCATCATAGTCGTCTTCATGTCAAGTGGACTGTGGACTACACAGTCTGACTGTCTTCCATCTCGTGTGTTTCCCTAGTAGTCGGTGCTTTTCATTCACAAGACCAGACAGGTGGTCATCAGCCACCGTCTCAGCAGGGCCCAGGCTTCGGCAGGCAGCCTCAGTCCTTCTACAACAGCAGAGGCATGTCCCGCGGTGGACCTCGTAATGCCAGGGGTATGATCAACGGTTACAGAGGCTCATCCAATGGTTTCCGAGGTACACTTAACATAACACAAACAACACAATGTAACTACATTATCTTACTGTAAGTGGTATAATTAAAGTTTTTTTTCTGCAGTAAGTGATTGAACACATGACCTGGTGACCTTTCTAATAAAGTGCGGATACTTATTACAGTACATAAGGAATATTATGTCAGATGTGGCTGCTTTTTGCCAAAGTGACGTCGACTGTTGGTCTTGTTGCTTCATACTGTATTTTTTTCTTTTCTGATTCCGCCTCACCCATAGATGTTCTTACAATAGTTTAAATGCACGGTCAGACTTCAGTGTGAATGGTCTACATGCTTGAAATGTCCCACATGACATGGCATCACATTCTTTATTTGTGAAAGTAAATATGGATGGTACACTTTGTCTGCGTGTTTTAATTTGGAAGATGATGTGATATCAATGTTAGTCAGTCTGATCTCCTAGCCATCAGTCAGAGAACCTGCTTCCTCCCCGCAGCTGGGTAAGTCAAAGACCAATCTCAGGCTTTAGTCCACCTTTGGGCTGACCTCAGAGGCAAAAGGCGAGAAATGTGAGCTTTCCTGTTGCCCCCTCACCTACAGGCACAGAACCTGGACAGTGTTGTTCTTTACACTGAGCAGCTCCTTCATGTTTTCTTTGACTTCAGCTCTTAGATCTTAAAACTTATCATTGCTATCTATGGTCACTAGTATTCTAAGTCAAAGTTTTGTTTATGTTTTGCCCTAGGTGCCTATGAAGGCTATCGTCCTCCCTTCAACAACACTCCAAACTCTGGTTATGGGCAGACTCAGTTCCACACGCCCCGGGACTACTCCAATGGGAATTATCAGAGGGTACAAAAGGCAAACTTTACACTCGCCTAATGTCACTGATCCTTGTTGAAGATTTTACTAAGTTGCCTCTCTTTCCTTTTGTTGGTGAAGGATGGTTACCAACAGAACTACAAGCGTGGAGCCAGTCAGGGTCCCAGAGGAGTGTCGAGAGGCAGCACTCAAGCAATGCGCTCCTGAAAACAAGAAGCCTTTCTTAATGACTGTGACTGATTTAATTGCACCACACTGAAAATTTGAAATTCAATCATGACATGCCCCACCTCAATCATGTTCTTTTCTCTCGGTTCTTCATTAGTGGTATTTTGACTGTTTCTTTAATCAAAGTGATGCCTGCTTTGATGTTAGGGAATTGATCATTTAGAGTCTAAAACACAAGGTAAGCTGTTAACGAACTCATCGGGTTACACAAGCCATGTGTTACACAATATTCCTGTAAACTTGAAAGATTTCATAAGTTATTTTTTGTATAAAACAAATGCACCTGCCACTGCTGGTCCAAACCTTGGGAGTGTTTTTTTCCCCCCCACTTTCTCAGTCCGTCATTTTGATTCTTAAAAAAAAGCCTTTTATGTTCATTGCGCTCCCGTTTTCTTGTTTGTGAATTGATGTTGCTTCAAGAGTTTCAATAAAGTTGTGTTGCATACACATTGTTCACTGCGTTTTTGAGTGAACCTAATAAGGTGGTCTAGAAGTTGTAGGGTTGGATGCAGAAGTTGTGAAACTGCAGCCTTAATAGTGTTTTCTTGTTTTTATTTCTTAGACTTCCATGTAGCCAAATTCTTACACAAAATGTGTCCGATTAATAGCCCTGATACCAGCTTTTTTTTTGGAAAATATAAGATTCTTGATTTACCTCTGAGTGTATATTTTAAATTTGAGATTTAACATTTAGACATTAAATATGGTGATCAACAAATTGTTACTTGTATATCTTTCAGGTAAATTGTGCCACGTGTTTATATTTTCAATTGCATTGGTCTGTAGTTCATTGCATTGGTTTAAGTCATTCAAGAGAACGCTATAAGAAAAGGACGCGCTGTATCCATGGCTCACACCTAGAAAACGGATCCTTATTCAAAAGGAATATATAAAACACCGCCCTCTGCTGGTTATTACTCATACAGCCGTTATTTGCATCCCAACGTTACAGCCACACATTTGACCACTTTGGCTTTATTTAACCCCCCTCCCAAAATCAACTCGTCAGTTTTCACTCAAACTAACGTTTAATAACTGTCTGTCGTATGAATATGTCAATCTCGAACATAAATTAACGTTCTTTAACTTAGGGCACACCACCTGTTTACTCAGGGGAGGTCGCACTGTGATGACGTCACAGCGGGGTCCTCCATGAGCTACTGTCTCCACGTGAGTGTAAGTTATCAACAGCGTGATGGCTGAGCTTTAAGTTTAGCTTCCGAATCTCTAAGCAAACATTTATTAATAGACAACATTGAAGGTAAATGAGAAAACGCTTTACTTTGGAAATTAAGTTTTAAGTGTCGTGATGTTTTTACCTGCTTCTCTGACTGCATTTTATGACTCGTTTATTTCAGAATTTCGGTCTAACTTCAGCACTGCCCACTAAACCGAACAAACTTCACGCCATATTGATTAGTGTGTTAACGATACCTCGTTATATGTTGTTTCATTTGGTTCTGTCGCTTATAGGAAAACAATGGCAACAGTCCGTAAAAAGGTAGACAACCGCATCCGTGTGCAGATAGAGAATGGCGTGGCACTGCAGCACCGCACCATGTTTGTGGTGGTTGGAGATCGTGGAAGAGACCAGGTAACCTGTTCCCTTCTCCCAGGTTCATTTTACATTATATTCTCGGCATTAGATTCACATATTATTGTGATGAGGCTTGTGTAAAATATAGAGAAAGATAAAGCAGTGAGATGTGCTCTCAGAATGACAGATGGGCAGCTGTGGTAGTTCATTGTAGATTCGATTTCAGAACAATAAGAATTCTTTGGAAAAATGCTGAGTGGTGTTTTTGATGTAATGTTTAAATGATTTTGGAGAAGAGATTCATATCGAAGTAGCAAAGAAGGATATTTAATCAGTTAGTGTATAATTGGAGACAAACGATGGTTGAGGTGATGGAAGAATGTGTCAAATCCCTGTGCAGTCAATCAAGTTACATTTGCCTCTGGTTCAGGTTGTCATCCTGCATCATATGCTGTCCAAAGCCTGTGTGAAAGCACGACCCTCAGTTCTGTGGTGCTACAAGAAGGATCTAGGCTTCAGCAGGTGAGCCTCAGCTCCTCCTCCTCCTCCTCCTCCTTGTTAGTTAGAGTGTTGTGTTATGTTATGAAGGAGAGTGTGGAGATTTTGACTCATCTCCTCATTTCCGGTACAGCAATCGCAAGAAGCGCATGAAACAGCTGCAGAAGAAGATCAAAACAGGAACGCTGAATCTGAACCAGGACGACCCCTTTGAACTGTTCATAGCTGCCACCAACATACGCTACTGTTACTACAACGAAACTCACAAGATCCTGGGAAACACCTTTGGCATGTGTGTTCTACAGGTGAGTGTGTGAAGTCCAGACAGTATTCTTTAAAATAAAATGTTAAAATCCAAATGGAGAAATACTTCAACTGTAAATGTTCAGGGCTCATGTCCTCAGTGCTGTGGTTTTTAATGATGCAGACCAACATATTTGATGTCACTTCCTGATATGTTGAACCTCTTGTTTCATAGGTTGCTCAAGTATTTGCATTAACAAATATATATAAACATGTATAAATATCCAGCTCAGGCTTAGGCTAGCTAAGGCCCCCAGAAGCAGCTCTTTAATTTGGCCTGCCAAATTATAGTCCTTATTAATATTATCATTATACTTCTACCTTTTTCCTGCGATACCCACGTTTCATGTATGACTTTTACATATCATTTATCTTAGTTTCACACGAACGCTCCATCTATTTGCTCCTGACTCCGCCCCCCGTTCACTTTTAGGCCAATTGTGGCCCGCAAGTCCAAAAGTTTGGCCACACCTGCACTAGATGCTACTATTGAAATGAATAAAGGTTAACCTGGTAATGATCCACAGCAGCCCAAATCAGATTTAAGTGAGCTCTTCAGGTGATGTATGTGTATATTTTTGACCAACATTTTCTGTCTAACACTTGTCTCCCTCAGGACTTTGAGGCTCTTACACCAAACCTCTTAGCCCGAACCATAGAGACAGTAGAAGGAGGTGGGATTGTGGTGATTCTGCTGCGGACAATGAACTCTTTAAAGCAGCTGTACACCATGACCATGGTGAGTCATCCAAGGGTCAATTCTTAACTCTAGCTTCAGCGCCTAGAGACAAAACAGGAGACTGTTAATGTCACCAGTATGAGGTTCAGATATATATCACACACGTGTGTGTGTGTGTGATTTTGTTGTGGTTTGTCTTTTCCAGGACGTTCATTCTCGGTACAGGACAGAAGCTCATCAGGACGTTGTTGGACGCTTCAATGAGAGGTCTGTACTTTATCTGAGAGGTTTGATTCTTCACATCATTATGACAGTAATATTCACGTTGTTTCACCATTTCTAGGTTCATCCTGTCTCTCTCATCCTGCAAAAATTGTGTTGTCATTGACGACCAGCTCAACATCCTCCCCATCTCCACCCACATGGCCAACATCAAACCTGTTCCTCCAAAGACTCAGGTGCCTTTGTAATTGTCAACGATAGATTGAACCAACATGCTGTAAAAAGTTAACTGTTGTCTGGATGACAGACATATCCAGAGACGTTAAAATACAGTGGTTTAGGATTTTTTTTTTGCTTTTTATTTAGAATCACAGACCAATTAAACTTTAAACAGGTGAAGCTAATTAGGTATCTCATACAGAGAGAAAAAAGAAAAAATGGGCAAAGCTGCCCCCTGCAGGACAGCAGTTCAGCTACCACACTGCTTTATAGCTTTTCAGTTCATCATCATGGGCTTTTTGGTTGAATCCATATATCTACATATATACAATTAAAAGACAAAACTAACATCCAGGAGTCTGCACTAAAATCTCTTCAACACTTCAACAAAAATAAAATGTTTTGTCTCTGCAATAGGAGGACGGTTTGTCTCCGCTAGAGCAGGAGCTGAAGGACCTGAAGGAGTCTCTTCAGGACACTCAGCCTGTGGGTGTGTTGGTGGATCGCTGCAAGACCATGGACCAGGTGAGAGCCTGCTAACACCTGCTGTCGAGGGTTTTCAAACAGTCAGACCGAGGTCTCACATTAGAATAAAGCTGTAGTGTTGAATGAAATGAGAGATGAATGAAAGACAGAGAAAGGTACAATTTAAATATCACCCATTTAATCAGAGCTGTTGATTTTTTACAAATGGATTCATCAGTTTATTATGTTCTTTAATTTGATTAAAGAACTGAAATTGAAAAGATGAAAGAAAATTTGTGTGAAAAAGATTAATATCCTGTCCTGTATTCAGGAAAAACATTTGTAAGAGTAAAAATAAATAGAAACAACAAAAAACCCAGTATAAAAATGTATATATATTTTATTTATTTTTTAATTGTTCTGGGGTTTTTTTTCTTTGACCTTTCTTGACCTTCAGGCAAAGGCAGTGCTGAAGTTTATTGAAGGGATCTCTGAGAAGACTCTGAGGAGCACAGTGACTCTGACCGCCGCTCGTGGTCGTGGAAAGTCTGCAGCTCTGGGGTTGGCTGTAGCTGCAGCAGTGGCTTTTGGGTACACAGTCTTTTCTATAAGTCGGTTTGAATCCAACTTCACATCATCCTGCTTTTAAATGAAGATGTTGAGTTTTCAATCATTGTTCCAGCTACTCCAACATCTTTGTGACGTCACCGAGTCCAGACAACCTCCACACCATGTTTGAGTTCATCTTTAAAGGCTTTGACGCTCTGCAGTATCAGGTGGGTTTCCTCAGCAGCTCTTCTCTTCATCGTCACGCTGTTGACGTCACACACCTGATATTTCACACCTTTTTGTAGGAGCATCTGGACTATGAAATCATCCAGTCGTTGAATCCGGAGTTTAACAAAGCCGTGGTGCGGGTTAACATCTTCAAAGAGCATCGGCAGACCATTCAGGTGAAGTGAACGCAGCTGAGCGAGTATTCACAAATGAGACGCAGACACCGTCCTTCAACCTTTGTGTTCCTGTGGCCCACAGTACATCCACCCAGGTGATGCAGTCAAACTGGGCCAGGCCGAGCTGCTGGTCATTGATGAGGCTGCAGCCATCCCTCTGCCCCTGGTGAAGAACCTGCTGGGCCCTTATTTGGTTTTCATGGCCTCAACTATTAACGGGTCAGTAAAAAGAACTTGATTTGAAGACTTTGTCTAATTTAATTTATAAATTTATAACATGTGGATCCATCAGAAATCCATCAGCTCTGAGGGCTTTTCAATCCATAAAAACAGAATTTTTTTTTAACCATATCGAGTTGATCTAGTTTACCCTTTAGCTTAGATACAGAGTAATAAATTCTACAAAAAACAAAAGTTATACTTTAGCATAATTTGTGACATTTTTCCATGTTATTATTTCCATAATTCATGTTAGAAAAATTTACACAAACATCTTTTTAGGAATTGATGAATTTTATATGATTAATCATGGTGAGTTAATCATTAACTGATTAATCCACAACTAATGAGTAATTCAACAGATGTAATTTCTGATCAGTTCACAGCTGTAGTTCGCTCATATTTAATATTATCTTTACATTTTCCTTGGGACTTTTGAACCTTCCCTCATACAAACTGACTCAATGACTGAATAATTAAATCGTACATATAAAAAGAAAATCTGCAAAGTCGATAATACTTTACTTTTAGATGAAGAAAGATGAAGAAAATGTAATTTTTAATTGGTTGCAGTCACTGTATTTTTAGCAGTGAATTATCTAATAGTAATAATTCTGTCGATAAATAAAAAATTAATCAACGTCAGAGTGATGTTGTTGTTCTCCTCAGGTATGAGGGAACCGGACGCTCCCTCTCCCTGAAGCTGATTCAGCAGTTGAGGCAGCAGAGTGCCGACAGTCAGCAGAGCCTGTCGGCAGAGAACAGGACCACCAACACAGCCAGGCTGGCAGCAGGTACGTACCTCAGTTAGACCTCAGTGTTTGACTGAGCAGCCTTACAGACCGCCTCTTGACCGACTGCTCTTCATTTCCTGCCGCAGCTCGCTCTCTGCATGAGGTTTCCCTCCACGAGTCCATCAGGTACTCTCCAGGAGACGCAGTGGAGAAGTGGCTGAATGACCTGCTCTGTCTGGACTGTCTCAACATTCCCAGGCTCATTTCGGGCTGCCCACTCCCTCAGACATGTGACCTGTATCCTCCACTTCCGACTGATAAGCTACTCTTCCTAAATAACATGAGCGTTTCATTAATCATTTCTGTTGGCCAGTAGTTGTCTAAAACTTGGACCAGTGTTTACCAACTTGTTTTGAACTGGGGCTCACCACCTAACAGAAATGTCCCAAAAAGTATATGTTATAGAATATAAAGACTTTTTTCTTTAAATTTCCTAAGAGATGAATTTCCTAAGAGTTTTTTCTTTAAATTTCCTAAGAGATGACTTAGTAGGACTGTTTAGTTGAACAACAACCCTCATATACTCGCAGTAATTGAAGAAAACAACAGGCATGAAAATATTCCTCAAAAGCTCTGAGTTTCCTTTTTATTTTATTTTATTAACCTTTGCCCCCACCTAGTGGAAGAGAATGTAATTGTTCACTGTCACACAGTCGAACAAGGACAAATATAGACAACTGGAACTTTCCCAACATGTTCAAAGTAAGCTCTGTATTTAAACACCTCTGTTTTCCATCCACGTTGAGGCTGACATTTCAACTGTTAGTGAAGAGAACGTATTTGTTCCATCCTTAATCCACACTGTGAAGATACTACGTGAACAGAGACACTCTCTTCTGTTACCACAAAGCGTCCGAGGCCTTCCTGCAGAGACTGATGGCTCTTTATGTGGCTTCTCACTACAAGGTGAGGTTTCTAGCTGCTCCTGAGTTATTCACAGTCTTTGTGCTTCACTCTTGACTCCTTGTTTCCTTTCCTTGCAGAATTCCCCCAACGACCTGCAGATGTTGTCTGATGCTCCGGCTCATCACCTCTTCTGCCTCCTGCCGCCTGTCCCTCCTACACAGAACTCCCTGCCTGAAGTGCTCGCCGTCGTGCAGGTAAGAACGCTCACGTGTGTCTGAATGGTGGGATCATCCACCAAATCTCAGACTGATTTGTTTTTATCATACTTGTATAGTCTAATAAACTAGACTCCTAAAAGGCTGTGGTCAGCCTGTCCTTTCATAAAGACACAGATGATGAACATCTATTTATTGTCATTAGTGACACTGTACCATCATGGTGTGCTTTCACCTCAGTCTGATTATATATAAATACTCTGCTGGGATGTACAGTCGATGTCACCTCATAACCAACACAATACATGGATGAAGTCTAACATTTCTAACAACGTCCATGGAGTATTTTTTGGACCATATTTGACCTTGTTGTAGACTTTGACATTACAACTCACCAACAAAATGTCCTAAAGACAGATTTAAAACTTTTAAAAATAACATTGATTTAATTTTTTAAACTCTGCCTGGCAATAAATCATGACTAACAAAAAGGGAAAAAGCAGAATGCACTTTACACTGGTGAAAATACCCCAGGGTAAAATCTAGGCCTGTTTTTCTTAAAGCTCTTGTCTGTGTTTCCTCAGGTTTGTCTGGAGGGAGAAATATCCCGACAGTCCATCCTGAACAGTCTGTCCAGAGGGAAGAAGGCGTCTGGTGATCTCATTCCTTGGACCGTTTCAGAACAAGTGTGTTAACGTCAAACGTTCACCAACAGATAATCACACCTTATTCCCCTTCAGTGCAGGAATGAATACATTTCTTCTTCACAGTTCCAAGACCCAGAGTTCGGCAGCCTCTCTGGAGCACGTGTGGTGCGAATAGCTGTCAACCCAGACTACCAGGGGGTAAGAATTCAGAAGACCGAACTGTTGGTGTCGTTCCGATGAGCTTCATGTCTGTAACTGCGACTGCACATGTTCTCCAGATGGGTTACGGCTCCAGGGCCCTGCAGCTCCTGCAGATGTACTACGAGGGCAAGTTTCCCACCATGGACGAGAGCGCCAACGCCAGTCACAAGGAGATCACCTCCGTCAGCAGTGAGGTAAGACATCCAGAGACATCTGATCACGCTGAGGTTGTGAGCACAACATCAGAAGAGGCAGAGATCAGGAATGACACGTCCTAAACACATGTTGTTTCTCCAGGCCGTCAGTCTTCTGGAGGAAGTCATTACTCCACGGAAGGAGCTGCCTCCACTGCTGCTGAAGCTGAGTGAGAGGAGAGCAGAGCGGCTGGATTATTTAGGAGTCTCCTATGGCCTCACCACACAGCTGCTCAAGTGAGTGTCCTGAAATCTGGAGCAAAAGGTTTGGTGGAAACATTTCTAAAGACATGTCTGTACTTCTTGTTTCTCACTGACAGGTTCTGGAGAAAAGCAGGTTACACTCCAGTCTACCTGAGACAAACCCCCGTGAGTATCCTGTCCTAAATACACAGCGTTTGTGTGTGAATATCAGGGGTTTAATATGATGATGTTGGTATCTAGAATGACCTGACAGGAGAGCACTCCTGTGTGATGCTGAAGGAGCTCAACACTGAAGAAGCTCCAGAGCAGAGCCAGTGGCTCTCTGCCTTCTGGAAAGGTGACTTCTCCTGTACTGCCTGACAAGATGAAGGATATATATATATATATATATATATAAAAAATTTTCAGCCCTCCTGAAAAATTCTTTTCATTTCCCTTAGATTTCCGCCGTCGCTTCCTGTCCCTCCTCTCCTACCAGTTCAGCCGATTCCATCCCAGCCTGGCCCTCAGCATCCTGCAGAACAAAAAGTCCAAGGAGGAGATGAGCAGTGAGGTTCCTTCTGTTCTGTCCACCGATGAGTTCTCCTTTCTCCTGCTCTGACTCCTCTTTGTTTCTCCACAGTCCTCAGCAGCTCTGAGCTGGCGGCTCATTTCAGCCCCTACGACCTGAGGCGTCTGGAGTTGTATTCCAGGAGCATGGTGGATTATCACCTCATCATGGATCTGATCCCAGCGGTTGCACGCTTGTTCTTTCTGAAGCAGCTGGGTGACATCTCGCTGTCGGCAGCACAGTGTGTAAGTAGGCCTAAAACAGGACTTAGTTACGTATTTTAAGGCAAATGAGTGCATTTTTATTCTCTCTCTCTCAGGCCTTGCTGCTGGGCGTTGGGCTGCAGCATAAGTCGGTAGACGACCTGGAGAAGGAACTCGATCTCCCGAGTTCACAGCTCATGGGTCTTTTCAACCGGCTTGTTCGCAAATTTGTGCAAGTGAGTTTGACGTCATTGAAAGTATTACATACAACTTTTTTAATATCACTCATCTGTATTGCTAACCTGTCTATCCTTTTTTCTAAATTCTGTGCCAGAGTTTTACCAGCATCCAAGAAAAGGCTGTTGAGGCAGAGATGACGGAAAGTAAAGACGTGAGCATGGAGCCGACGGTGAAAAGTCTTAGTGATGATCTGGTATGTAGAGACGACTCTGTCTATCTATCTATCTATCTATCTAAACTAATCTATGTAGTTTTCCTGACTACAAACCAAATCTGTGCTGTTGTTCTTTCTGACAGACTGAAGCGGCTAAAGAGTTCGAGGAGCAACACAAGCAGGATTTGGAAAAAGTGAAGGAAATGGACTTGGAGCAGTGAGTATCTCTACAGCACCACAGAGTGACTTACACACTGAGGTCACTGTTAAGTTACCGTAAGCTAAGCTCTGTTTAATCAAACAACAGGTACAGGATCCGGGGGAATGACGAGGAGTGGGATCAGGTGTTGAAGACAGCAGGGGGCACAGCCGTCGTCAGCATTAAGAGGTGAAGTAACAACATGCATTGGTCTTTACCACAATTTTATTCACACAGAACAACAAACACTCTCAGAGCAGACCATCAAATGTCAAAAAAGATTAATTAATAACATCTAAATACACAAAAGTGAAGCAAGAAATGTCAATAACTAAAATCCAAAATTTTACTTTTCAGTCAAAATGTAAACTTTAAGTGATCAGGGTCACAGTCTAAATTTGAATTCCAATGTGAGAAACATAATGTTTTGTTATTGAAATAGAATGGGTAAATATTGATGTAAATACTGCTCTGGGAAAAGTTGGATTTTAAATATGAAATATTCTGGTGACAAAATATTGCATTTGGTTTTCAACAATGGTAAATCATATTCAGTTATCAGAATTTTCAGACATAAATTTTGTTTCACTTTAACAGTTAAATCCATGTAAGAATGTATTTTTTAGCCACTGTGTCTGAGTTCCCTCTGTTTCAGGGGTGACCAAACTGTTCCTTGAAGGGCCGCTGTGGCTGCAGGATTTGGTTCCAACCAAGCAGTAGCACACCTGAGTTGACAGGTTTAATCAACTGACCTCAGTCTTCAGACAGTTGATTGGTCAAACTATGTGCTCTTGGTTGGTTGGAACAAAAACCTGCAGCCACACAGCCCCTTGAGGAACAGTTTGGACATGGCTGCTCTATTGGCTAAAGAGATGGTTACTATGTGCTGACTTATTATACAAGGACTTGTTTGAAAGTGTGTCTTATTGCCCCTACAGTGACAAGAAGAGAAAGCTGGATGGAGGAAAGATAGCCCAGAGCAATGGAAATCCTCCTCAGCACGGCAAAATGAAAAAGAAGGAAATGCAGCACGGCAAATTCAAGAAAAACAAGGACAAGCACGGCAAATTTGGGAAAAAGGCCTGACCGCAGTGAGTCACACTTCTAGAACAGTGTCTATATATGTGTGAGTAGGGGGGCTCTGACATACAGTACCATAGATATTATGGATGGACTGAAAGGATCAAAGCGATCAATGTCCTGTTAAACAATCTTTATTAAATCTATGAAGATTCTCAGTCCTCCAGGACAAAAAATAAAGCTACTTCAGGTCCCTGCTGTCAGGTCAACTGGGGAAGTGTTAACAGTCGTTAGGACTCTGATGGGTCGTTGTAATCCTCATCAGAATGGTTTTGGTTTCGAGGTGGGTTTAGACACAACCTATCCCCCACATACAAGGCTCTCTTAGGAACTATACCCAAAAGATTCACCTCAGTTTCACACATCCAAGAGGCAGGTGACCAAAACCACTCTGATGAGGATTACTATTACCCATCAGACTCCTTACAACTGTTAACACTTCCCCAGAGGACCCAGACGGCCCACCCAACAGGAGCGTCCTGAAGTAGCTTTACCATTTGTCCCACCCACAGTATATATCTGCTGTACTCCCCACCACCAGTTAGAACTGAAGAAGTCTCTTAGATCAGAGGTAAAACTCTTGAGAACATTTCAGGTCCAGCTATCTAACAGTAGTCTTCAACAATGTTACTATTAATTTTTTTGGTCTAAAACAACACACAACAAAACACACCCTGAGGCTAATTCACACTTTGAGGTTTTGTTTTATACTCACGCTGAGGTAAATGTCTGATTGGCTTTAGGTTCCACTCACTGTCATGGAAACACCTGCGGCTGTAAATCTGTCCACTTCTGTCTGAGCTGCTCCTTCACCACCTCCGGTGCAAACGTACAGTCTATGGCCTGCTGCGAGAGTTTCCACATGGCTTCACGACTGAGACCAAAGGTGGACGCTGCCAGCTGATACTCCTGAGACAATTCTGTACAGAAGACTCCTTTATCGTCAGTCTGGTATGACACAGAATTAAGATTGTATTTAGTAAACATGACAATGTTCAAGTGAAACCTTGAAAATTGCAGTTGTTACTTGTGTAAAGAAACTCTGATGCAGCAAAGACATTTGAGATTTCCATACTGTTGAAGACCCATTTGTTAAAACTTATTCCAGAAAATAAATTTTTTTTTTCAACAATTTACGACAACAGTGTTTTTATTACTAAAAATCTAACATTTGGATGGATTGGATTTAAAGTTTTAACTTTTTTTTTTAACAATTACAATAATACGTTCAGGAACAGCACAGGAAAATTGTGTAAAGATTTGACAAAATATTTTCTTCATTTTTCCCACAAATTTAAATCTCTATGTGAATTTAAAGACGTTGAGCTGCATTAGGAGTTGAACTGATTACTAAAAACAAATGTAGACACAATAATCACAGCTTTATATAAAAACCCTATTTTATACAAGTTATACAGTTATAAAGGGTCTTTTCTACATCACTTCATTGAGGGTTCTTGAAAAAAACACCTTTGAATTATATATCTTTATCTTAAGGATACACACTAACATTAATAAAACCTAATTCAGTGTTTGTGCTTTTAGCTCAGTGTATCAAGCTAAAATTAGTTAGTTATTTCAAAATAATTTGGAGTTTTATTAATCTTAAGTTATTAAAAGAGTTGTATATGTAATGTCTACAAAGATTTTGTTTTCTAATTTTTTTCCCCTCACTTTTAAGTGAAAGTCTTCCTTTAATTAAACACAAAAAAAACAAAGACAAGTTATAAAAAGTAAACTTACACAGATCACAGTGGGATGTCCAAGCTGGTACCAGTACTTGAAGTGATGCTTGGAGTAACATGGAACCGTTTGTCCTTTAACGTTAGACGTGAGGCATAATTCTGTAGCAGAGAGGAGACGAGAGATCAAATATCCAGTCGAAACATACTCTAGTGATTACAGATAATTAGTTGTTCTTCATCCCTGTCTCACCTAATGGAATATTGTGCTTCAGCACTTTATCGACAAGACCTTGAGATCCGCCAACCTCAGGATGTAAGAAGGTTCCGTGTCCGATCCTGTCAGGAGGTAAATTCAACAGCAGGTCGGACTCCTCCAGCTGGGACGGTACCTACAACATATTTTGTATAGTCACTGCACGTAAGAACAGTCAGACGTGTTAAAGGATTTAAGAAAAGAGTTTTCATACTTCTGAAAGGTGCAGTGACAATTTCAGTCCACTGTTCTTTGCCCTCTCTAGAGCTGGAAGTAAAGTTTTCACACTACCAACCTTAAAAAGAAGAAAAAAAAGATTATATCAGACATAATTCGGCGAGAAATGTTAAAAACTTTGAGCAAAGTCTTCAAACTGGTGGACTGACCGTAGGGTCTCCACTGACATCAAGTCCCACCACCAGACCATCAGAAGAGAGCAGAAACTCCTCGGCCAGCTTTACTGTCTCCATGGCAACCTCAGGTCCATTCCTCCGGTCGATGGCCACGAGAAACCTTTGGAATGAATGAACACAAATAGCATCAGAGCTAGATTGGACAAGACCAGTTTTTGTGAACAACACTTACCTGACATCAATGTCCAGTCCTTCATTTTTACACATCTGGATTGCTCTGATGATGGTTTCAATATATTTCCTTTTTGTTAACCCTAAAAAATACCAAGTACAAAATCAGCAAAATGTTTTAATTTGTTGCTTGAACACTATCAGAAAATCAGAAAAATATTTTAAAAAAATAGAGCCTTTTTAACAGACGTGTAAACTAAAATCTTACATTATTATAAATAAATGAAAAAATGTATTGTTTTTTATTTGCATTTGTAGATTCTTTTTTATTTCGGCTTTGTCCCTTTTTTTTAGGGGTTGCCACAGCAAATCATTGATTTCCATCTCTCCCTGTTCTCTGTATCTTCTACTCTGACTCCAACTATCTGCATGTCCTCCCTCACTGCATCCATATATCTCTTCTTTGGCCTTCCTCTCTTTCTCCTACCTGGTAGCTAAATCTCTAACATTCTTCTACCAATGTATCCACTGTCCCTCCTCTGCACATGTCCAAACCATCTCAATCTGGCTTCTCTAGCTTTTTCTCCAAACCTTCCTGTCTGTGTTGTCCCTCTAATGACCTCATTCCTGATCCTGTCCATTCTTGTCACTCCTAAAGAGAATCTTAGCATCTTTAACTCTGCCACCTCCAGCTCCTCCTCCTGTCTTCTGCCTATTGCTACTGTCTCTAAACCATACATCATGGCTGGTCTCACCACTGTCCTGTAAACCTTTCCCTTCACCTTAGCTGACACTCTTCTGTCACAGATCACTCCTGACACTTTTCTCCAGCTGTTCCATCCTGCCTGTACTCTATTCTTCACCTCTCTTCCACAGTCTCCGCTGCTCTGAACAGTTGATCCTAAGTACCTAAACTCCTGCACCTTCACCACCTCTGCTCCTTGTAGCCTCACTATTTCACTGTTCTGCCTTTCGTTTACACACATGTACTCTGTCTTGCTGCGACTGACCTTCATTCCTCTTCTTTCTAGTGCAAACCTCCACCTCTCTAGGTTCTCTTCTAGCTGCTGCCTACTCTCACTACAGATCACAATGTCATCTGCAAACATCATAGTCCATGGGGACTCCTGTCTGACCTCATCTGTCAATCTGTCCATCACCACAGCAAACAAGAAGGGGCTCAGGGCCGATCCTTGATGTAGTCCCACCTCCACTTTGAAGTCTTCTGTCCTCCCAACAGCGCACCTCACTACTGTTGTACTATTCTCATACATGTCCTGCACCAAACTAACATACTTCTCTGCCACTCCTGACTTCCTCATACAAAACCACAATTCCTCCCTTGGCACTTTGTCATATGCCTTTTCTAGATCTACAAATACACAATGCAGCTCCTTCTGACCTTCCCTGTACTTCTCCATCAACATCCTCAAGGCAAATATTGCATCTGTGGTACTCTTCCTAGGCATGAAACCATACTGTTGTTCACAAATCTCCACTTCCTGCCTCAACCTAGCTTCAACTACTCTTTCCTAAATCTTCATTGTATGGCTCATCAACTTTATCCCTCTGTAGTTGTTACAACTCTGTGCATCACCCTTCTTATGAATTGGCACCAGAACACTTTTTCTCCACTCATCAGGCATCTTGCCAGTCTCTAAAATTCTGTTAAACAAACCAGTCAGGAAATTTACTGCCACTTCTCCTAAACACTTCCATACTTCCACTGGTATGTCATCAGGACCAACTGACTTTCCACTCTTCATCCTCTTCAGGGCTTTTCTAACTTCATCCTTTCTAACCTGATCTACCTTCTTCCTACTAGTCTCTGGCTCCTCGTTTCTACTTTCCCTTTCATTTTCCTCATTTAACAACTCCTCAAAGTATTCCTTCCATCTTCTCAGCACACTTTCCTCACTTGTGATCACATTCCCCTCTCTGTCCTTAATCAACCTCACCTGCTGCACATCCTTCCCAGCTTGATTTCTCTGTCTCGCCAATCTATACAACTCCTTTTCTCCTTCCTTTGTTTCCAAACTCTCATACAACTCCTCATATGCCTTTTGTTTGGCCTTGGCCACTTCCCTCTTCACCTCCCTTGTCCTCTCTTTGTACTCCAGTCTGTTCTCTTCTGTTCTGTCACTGTCCCATCTCTTCTTCGCTAATCTCTTTCTCTGCACACTCTCCTGGATCTCCTCATTCCACCACCAGGTCTCTTTGTCCTCCTTTCTCTGCCCAGAGGACATACCTAGCACCTTCCTACCTGTCTCCCTCATCACTGCAGCTGTAGTCTCCCAATCATCTGGGAATATCTCAACACTACCCAGAACTGCCCTTACTTCCTTCCTGAAGTCTTCACAACATGTCTCTTTCCTTAGTTTCCACCACTTGATCTTCTGCTCTGTCTTCACTCTCTTCCTTTTTGTCACCTCCATCGTCATTTTACACACTACCATCCGATGTTGTTTGGCTACACTCTCACCTGCCACCACCTTACAGTCTCTAATCTCCCTCAGATTACATCTTCTACATAGAATATAATCTATCTGTGTGGACCTGCCTCCACTCTTGTAAGTCACCCTATGTTCCTCTTTCTTTTGGAAATATGTGTTTACCACAGCCATTTCCATTCTCTTTGCAAAATCTACCACTGCCTGTCCTTCTACGTTTCTCTCCCTAACACCAAACCTGCCTATCACTTCCTCATCTCCTCTGTTCCCTTCCCCTACATGACCATTTAGGTCTGCTCCAATCACCACTCTCTCTCTCCTGGGGATACTCTCTACCATCCAATCTAGCTCCTTCCAGAACTTCTCCTTTTCTTCCAACTCACAGCCCACCTGTGGGGCATAACCACTAACAACATTAATCATCTCTCCTTCTACTTCTACCTTCACACACATCAACCTGTCTGACTCTCTTTTCACCTCTACCACATTTCTTACATATTCTTCCTTTAGGATCACCCCTACTCCATTTCTCTTCCCATCTGAACCATGATAAAACAGTTTGTAGCCTCCTCCAATGTTTCTAGCCTTACTGCCCTTCCACCTGGTCTCCTGCACACACAAAATGTCTACTCTTCTTCTTTCCATCATATCAGCTAGTTCTCTGCTTTTCCCTGTAACTGTACCTACATTCAGAGTTCCAAACCTCAGACCAACACTTCTATACTTTCTCTTTTCTCTTTTTGTCCGAATCAATCGTCCGCCTCTTCTTCTTTGTAGATTATTTTGTTTAAATACCTAACTACCACAATGGCTAAATTTTAGTGGAAAAAAAAAATCAGCAATTGCACTTGTACATCCTGGTAACAACTGGGTAAACAATTATAAAAGCAGACAGATTGTAGTTACCTGTGTTTTTCTCTTCCCTTGGTGTACTTCGAAGCTCCAAGTATTTCACAGAATCTGCTGCAAACTCTTTGATTACATCTGTCGCCACCTAGTGAGGACAACATATTACTGTCTATGTTCTCAACAAATACAGTGCTGTGAAAAAGTACAGTTGTGTTCAAAATAATAGCAGTGTTTTATAAAACGTGAGTAAAGCTCAAAATCCTTATAATATTTTTATTTCCATTCGTTGTCTTGTTGAAACACCCATTTCAAGGGCATTTCCTCTTCTGCATTTCCTCTTCTCAAGTATTTTGATGTAAGCAAATTGATCCATGATCCCTGGTAAATAGGCCCAACACCATAATAAGAGAAACAGCCCCACATCATGATGCTTGCACCACCATGCTTCACGGTCTTCACGGTGTACTGTGGCTTGAATTCAGTGTTTGGGGGTCTTCTGACAAACTGTCTGCGTCCCTTGGAGCCAAAAAGAACAATCTTACTTTCATCAGTCCACAAAATGTTTCTCCCTTTCGATTTAGGCCAGTCGATATGGTCTTTAGCAAATTGCATCCTCTTCAGAAAATGTCTTTTTCTTTAACAGTGGGACTTTGCGGGGGCTTCTGGCCTCACACAAGCGTCTTCTAATTGTCACGGTACTCACAGGTAACTTCAGGTCGTCTCTGATCTCCCTGGAGCTCATCATTGGCTGATTCTTTGCCATTCTGGCTATTGTTCGATCCATTCGAATCGTAGTCTTCCGCTTTCTTCTACGTCTCTCTGGTTTAGCTTTCCATTTTAAAGCATTGGAGATCATTTTAGCTTAGCAGCCTACCATTTTCTGCAATTCTTTATATGTTTTCCCCTCTCCAATCAACATTTTAATTAAAGCACGCTTTTCTTCTGAACAATGTCTGGCACGAC